CACAATTCAAACAATGTAGCATTGGTGTTGTGCTGGCTGCCTTTTATTCAATTCTGAGATTCTGTATGACCTTAGTAGGGCAAGGGTCTTCTGAGTTTGAGACCTCATTCAGTTAAATTCATTCATTCACTCATTCATTCAGTATATATTTATTGAGTGAAGAGTAGACAATGAGTGAACTATTTAGAGATCAAGTGGGGACTTGGAGGATATTACTGATGATGGACTCTGAAGACAAGGGGACTTTGGGAGATGGGGAGGGGCAGCGCATAGGATTATAGTTAGCAAAATACAAAACTTTGTGGAGATGAGGCTAGGTGATCAGCAGTGACCTGGAAATCTTGAATGACTTGTGGAAACAGTCATAAACTTGGAAAGGGTACATAATGGGATTAGTTCTGATTACTCCATAGGCATATTATAGAGGTAGGGGGATGTTGTGAAGGACAGGGAGGGCTTCACCAAGAGGCTCCTTTTCACTCCTTCAGAGCTCTCAAATTAAAGCTCTCAAAACACTTTCTTTGGACTGACAAAAACATATCTTTAAAGACTAGAGACATTTTTAGACTTAAAAATATCATCTTGTTTAACTCTTCTTTACTCTTCAAGGTAGGAAACTGAGACCCAAGGTCATTATTTTCTCAATTTCACTGAAAAAGTTAGAGTAAGAACTAAATACAATAACCTGGGACCCAGTCCTCTTTTCACTATGTCAAACATAAATAGATGAAATAGGCATACATGTAGAAGGGATATGGGATGTTTATTACTTTAGGGGCAGTAAGCGTTCTCCAATGAGATGATAGAAATAAAAACTCCTTTCTTGAGGCCTACTAAAGTACTGACTCTAGTAACATTTATAGGAATAGAAGAGGTGAGGAAGTTTGACATACCCAGTTAGGTAAAGGAGATCAAAGGATGGAGGCTCAGGAGAAACCTAAGCAGAGAACAGAGAAAGGAAGAGGATGCCTACTTGCCACATCCCCAAGGCCATTTTTTTTCTTGGGCTCTCCTATAATCAAGTCTCTGTCCCAACATCCACTAGCTAGAGAGCACTGCAACTTGCATCACAGGGGGAAGTAAATGTCAAGTACTTTCTCTCCAATAAGGCCGTGAGAACAGAAGAGCCCTAAAACTTTAACCTTGCAGAATTCTGGTTTAGTGGCTTGAGGAAAGTGAACAAGAGAGAAATATCTAAGTATATTTTTACTCCCATAGTCATTGTTTTATGTAGAATACTTTAAGAAGATTGCCTGTCACCTCCATGCCCAATTTCCAAAAGTTTGACAGAGATGAATTGAGTATTACATGAAATGATTTTTTAAAAACAAAATGAAATCTGGTCAACTAAAACTGAACTAGAGGAAAAAATGGTCAAGGAAAATTGTCCCTCTTCAATAAACATCTAATGACATATCTCTAGTCTCATTAATCACCACAAAAAAATCAATATTTCATTTTATTTTTAAGTTTGCTTCCATTTCAAAATCCCAACAGTGCCTTGATCGTTTACAGTAATTTTATTTAACTGAGGCTAATTTTTAATAAGCCTCTCAAGTGTTCCTAACAGGTTCCTGAGTCCATCAATAATTTTATAAATTTTTACTTTTAAGTTTGATAATGATAATTTTTCTGCACCTTTGATGATAATACATTTGCAAGAAGAAAGTCAAAGCTAAATAACAAAAATTGGTTTTATTTACTTTTAACATTTGTGTGCAGCTGGAACACACACTGTCCATGCCTCCCACATCCTGTGGTATAGCTATTTCAGTGTGCTCAACTCACTTCCATATGCCAGTATCAGCTTTTCTGTGCCTGAGGGTTTTCTTCAGAACCACTGAAACTAATTCTACCATGTGCAGGCCAGGCCAGCATTACCGCTGCTGGAGAATGAATACCTCCCGACTCCAGGAGTAAAACACAAGCAATGACTCATGGAGTTTCAGTATAAACATCCCAGTTCTCATGTCTCAAGGGTGGGACAATTTTGAGGCAGGTGTCTTCCATCATTTCCCAGAGCTAAACTCTAGTCGCTATGAAAAGTCATCCACATCTCATCCCCTGAGAAGTTTTGTGTCCATTACAGAGATTTTTCTCCTACAGAAAAACTTTAAAAAGGATCCTATTATATATTCTTTTTTGCAACTTGAATTGTCCATCATGGTTTCCTAGAAATGTGCAAAATTATAAAATTTGTTACTCCCTGAGGGAGTGTGGGTTAGTTCAGTTATCCCTTCCCGGGCTTCTTCATTTGGATCACTCTTGCTTCTTAAAACTATGTTCACCAGTTTTCATTTATAAGACGACATTCGGTTTCAGTAAGGAGATTTCTTCATTGAATTCTAGATTGACATTGTGTAAAAAATACACACGTTCACATTTATACGTATGTGTGCAAGGCCAGTATTAAAATACTTAATAATGATTTCAGCATAAGTATCAACCAATCAAAGGAGATGTCAGTCATAAGAAATCTGTCTTCTCCATTGACTAAAATATATTAATTGATGCACAAACATATAGAAAACCTTTTACAAGAAACACAACTTCTATGAAAGTAAGTTTCTCAATTTTTTCCATCATAACTTACCCTAATTCTACCTTTTCTTTTTTATTAGATCATAGTTAGATATGAAACTCGTATTTGGCTTCAGCTTCATGTTTAACTTAGTCCCAAACCAACACTCTTTAAACCCCAGTTAACTGATTTTTCTTTTTGAGAATTTTGTCATTTTCCCTTGGACAGTGGTTTTCAACAGCTTGCTATGTTGTCTCCTGGGAAATATTGGAGATATCTGGAGACATTTTGTCACAACTTGGGTAGAGGTGGTACTATGGATTGAAAACTCTGCTTTAGGATGCTTTAGGATGAGGGTATCAGCTCACTCCTCCAAGCTGATCCAAGGTGGTTGGTAAATATACATATATAACCACAGCCACAGAAGGTGTGTATTTAATGCCTCACTTTGTTTTTCTCCTTGAAATAGGTGAGGTGAGTTGCTGCCTTGAAAATCTCTAGCAATGGCTAGGGAAAGACTGATTTTCCTATACTGCTATAAGTTGAATTCTGTCCCCTCCTTCCCCCAAATTCATATGTTGAATTCATATGATAACTTTATACCTAACTCAATGTTAAGTTCCAAACCCCAGTATCACAGATTATGACCTTATTTGGAAATAGAGTTATTGCAGATTAATTAGTTAAGATGAGGTCATTAGGGTAGGCCCTAGTCCAGAATGAATGGAGTTCTTATGAAAAGGGGAAATTTGGACACAGACACACACACAGAGTACACATGTAAAAAAGAAGGCAGAGATTGAGGTGAGGTTTCTACAAGTCAGAGAAGGACAAAGGTTTCTCATAAACCACCAGAAGCTGTGGTGCTTTGTTATAGTAGCCCCTGCAGACATACTGTTTCTAGCTGGATTAGGTTTCATCTAAAAAGGGCTACTTAAAATGCATGTTATAATCTTTATTATGTCTTTATTGGGTCATATCAGTGAATACTACGTGCCCCACAGAGCTCTGACAAACAATATTAAATTATAAGATAGAATTGAATATATGTATTATAATATCTATAATATATATTGTATCTATAAAGTATCTGTATTATATAATGTATATGTAATATTATATAATGCACATATTATAATATAAATATAAAGTATAATGTATATGTAATATTATATAATGCATATATTATAACATAAATATAAAATATAATATATACATTAAACTTTGTATAAAAAGACTATTTCAACATTAAAAGAGATTAAGATAGTCCCCATTACTTTCTTCTGCCATTTTGCAGATAGGGAAGTTACACCAGCGCATAGCATTTGTGAGATAGTTTTGGGGGGGGGGCAGAGTACAAGAGGTAGAGAAAAGGGTAGATAGTCTAAATCCATATTCTTATCAATAGAAAAGATGGGGTTTAAGATAAGTGGTGAGGGGGGGCGCCTGGGTGGCTTAGTCGGTTAAGCGTCCGACTTTCGCTTAGGTCATGATCTCGCGGTTCNCTCCTAGATAGACCACATACTGAGTCACAAAGCAGCCTTCAGTATATATAAAAGAATTCATATCCTACCATGCATGCTTTCAGATCACAATGCATGAGATCACTGGAAATCAACCTTAGGAACATTTTTGGAAAACCTCTAAAAGCATGGAGGTTAGGGGCGCCTGGGTGGCTTAGTCGGTTAAGCGTCCGACTTTCGCTTAGGTCATGATCTCGCGGTTCCTGGGTTCGAGCCCCGCGTTGGGCTCTGTGCTGACTGCCAGCTCAGAGCCTGGAGCCTGTTTCAGAGTCTGTGTCTCTCTCTCTGACCCTCCCCTGTTCACGCTGTCTCTCTCTATCCTAGAAATAAAATAAAAATATTAAAAAAAAAAAAGATAAGTGGTGAGGGAAGTTGAGCAGGAAGTCAAGTTGACGTCTGAGAAAAATCCCATGGGAGGAAGTGAAAGCATCAGAGTCTGAACGGCCATCTCCCGTCTTCTGTGTTTTTCCCATTACACCACAGCTCTGGAAATTCCTATCCACGATGAAAATAAGGGAGTTTAGGGGAAGCCTTGAATTTTCACCAGCTGTTCATAAAAAAACCCAGAGCGCCGTTCTTTTTTCTGGATTGACATGATTGTGTGTGGCCAGTACATGGCTCAGAGACAGCTTTATCTAAATTTGTTCGTTTTGGAGGCTTCAAGGACTCTGCTTTAGTAACTAAAGAGAGTTTCTCTGCTTTTGCTCTGAAGGATGAATGCAGCCATCATGGTGGATAGAATTTTACAGAGATTTGTGAAATCTGCTGGAGTAGACTTTATCCATAACAATACAAACCATGAAGTAAGCCTTGCGCTATTTTGTTGGGAAAATTAGAATTTTGTCTATGTAAAATAGATATGAATCAAGTACAAGTGCTAAAGTTGAATAAAAATGATGAAAATATTTCAGAGTCAAGCATTTTGGAAGATTTTAAAAAGATTTTTGTTTTTGTAGAAATCCAATTTTGTCATGTTACTGGAAATCCCGAGTGTGATTAAGCTAACATTTTGAAATCTGATTGGAGTAGAAGTTTTAACTCTCTTAAGAGAGATACAGTTTCAGATATTTCAGGTATGTGCTAATCATGAAACATTATGAACTATTGGTAAAAACACTTTCTTGAAGGAACTCTACTTGGCCACACTGTGTTAACTACTTTTGAATTATTTTCTATACAAGAATGTAGTAAAATTATACACCTGGGAGTACTTCTCATCATACTGTCCTTCCCTAATTGGCAAATGTCAGAAAGATTTACATTGTCAATTAAAATATAATATGTGCATATTCCTAGACATTTTTACATATTTTTTTCTGGGCACTAAGTGAAATGTTATAAATAGTGGAAAAGAGAAGTTTGAGGCAAGTTAATTGAGCTTATATGGTTTGTTGGAGTTTCATGTCTAGATAGTTTGTTGAAGATCCCTATACCGTATACTTTAGCCCAGGAAAACACAGAGTGTTTATCATTTTTTTCTGAGAAATGAGTGTAACTTATAAGTGTGACACAAACACTAGATTTGTATTTATAAGTTGTGGTACACAGTGGTGTGGGACCATAGATATGATTGTGCAAGTTGAGATTGTGCAAAGTAATCTTAATAATCAATGGGAGAAATTGTGATTGTTTCATGATCTTTAACCATTTTTATTAATCATTAAGAGATTTCTTACTGTTGCTTATAAATATATAGGTAAATGGAAAAAATAGTAATTTTAATATTTATTTAGTACACCATAATATAAAACATCACATACATTACACAGAATCTCAATTCTGGCATTGCAAATAAACAGTTTGAATTTTAACAAAACTCATTTTTAATCCCTTATGCCTACCTCTCTTGCCCAGTATTGTTGCCTAGCTTTGTCATTTAGAGTCTTTATTCCTCTGTCTAGTCTCTTAAGAATTCATTAGTAGTCATTACCATTGCCTCATAGTACCAAAATGACAGATTCTATGCATGACTGACATTCACATTACATTTTCTAGAGGATATGAGTAGTAATAAGTCTCTGGTTTGGCAGTGGTTCTTTCCCATGTATTTAGAAAGATATTCTACCTGCTATTTTGTTTTTAGTGCTTGAAATTCTTCATAAACGTTTTTAAATCTTTCCATGTCATGAAAGATATAGACCAGATAAATCATGAGTCAGTGCTAATAATGTTCAGATACACATTTGTAATATGTTTTATGGAACAAATATTTATTCTTTTCATTTGAGAACTCTTGGGTTCTGTGTGTTTATATCTAGTAAAATAAACAGTTTATTTTAAATTGTGTTCTCTTTTCTGTACTGAAGCAAACTTTCTTATGTGAATATGGATTTAATGACAGAGTAAATATCTTGTGAAATGATTATATATGCACCTTTCACTATATTTTGTGTTCCTTTCAGGGCAAAGACTACTCTTATTCATTTTTATTACTAATAGCATGGCTGAAATAAATTTGGTCCTCATTAAATACTCAAGTAATTGAAGACATCAATGAAAAAATTTTAAGGTTCAAATTCAGAATTAAGGTACTATTCCTGTTAAGCATTCTTGTCCATTTCATTTCTGGTAAGATTATTTAAAGTTATACATCATACCTTTCTCAGCAAACCATGGCTTACTAGAAGGAACTACGGGCTTGGATTCAGAAAATGTGAAATCAAAGCTTAGTCTTGTTATTCCCTCGAACTTTATGAAACAATTTTCTTGGGATTCCTGGGTGACTAAGTTGGTTAAGCATCTGACTCTTGATTTCAGCTCAGGTCATGAACTCATGGTTTGTGAGATCGAGCCCATGTCAGGCCCCTCTGACAGTCTCTCTCTCCCTCTCTTTCTGCCCCTCTCCTTCTCACACACTCTCTCTCAAAAATAAATAAATAACTTTCAAAAAAGGACATGAAATCAAAGCTTAGTCTTGCTATTTCCTCAAACTTTCTGAAACAATTTTCTTAAACTTTAAATAGTGTTATAATACATCTGACTATTAGTGGGAAAAGTAAATAAGATGACAAGGGTACTGCGCTGTGTTAGCAGGCATATAATAAATACCTTAAAGAATACTAGAAAGTTTCTTTGATTTCCATTATCCATTTTTAATGATACAAGAATGAAGATTTATAGGTGTTTAATTTGTCTCAGGAAAAATAATGTCTTTCTACATTAAAAACAAACCCTTTGTATCTTTTGACTTTTGAAAATCAGTGCAGTTACAGGAATTTTTTTCTTAGCATCAAATGATCTGGGAGGCTTTTGCTTCTGAACTGATGGACAGGGTATGAGTGGTTGACTCTATTTTAGAAAACATCTATGAAACTTGAATATAATACAAAGTAATCACTTGGAGACTGAACAGAAGCATTCTTGTGTGCACACTCAGAGGAGGGGAACTATAGGGCTTCTAGTAAGTTCCTCTTTTTTTTTTTTTTTTGGTCTAGGACTAAGTACAATCTGCATAGACCCTGCAGGGGAGGCAAGATAACAGTGGGAAAACACCGGTTTTCTGGCCAAGAGAACTAGAAGACTGAAGCCAGAAAACTATGGCTGCTGGAGAGAGTAGGGAAATCCCAGAAAGTAAAGAGCCAGAGAAGGGATCCAAAAATTCTGTCTATCTGCCTATCTGACTTATCTCTGGTCCATGCATATACATTCAACAGACTGAGAGCCACTCAGCTAAAGAAGAAAAGTCTGAAGAGACACTGGAGCTATTGCCCCCAAATTAGAATCTCAGTGCTGTCATAAAAGAAACAATATGTGTTGAAAAAAGAAACACAACCCCCAAAACCGCCAAGTTCAGAATCTCCACAATGTCACGTTGAAAATATTGGCATGGAGGAGGGCACTTGCGGGGATGAGCACTGGGTGTTATATGGAAACCAACTTGACAATAAACTATTTGTAAAAACAAAAGAACAAAAGAACAAAAAAACACACATTTAAATGTTAAAAAAAAAAAAAAGAAAAAGAAAATATCGAGCATGAAGTCCAGAATTACCTCACCTATGAAAAACCAAGAATATGGAACACATTTGCAAGAGAAAAAAGAAAACTAACTGAATTTAGTCCTGAGGTGAATCAGATTTTAGAACTAGCAAAGAATTTTAAAGATCTATTAAAACTATCCTTAATATGGTAAAATAAAATATGCTCACAGTGAATTAAAAGGTATGATATCTCAGCATGGAAATAGAAGTGTTATAAAAGCAAATTGCATAGATACAATAAATTTCACCAATTTGTCATGATGACGAAATGCGCATTTGGTAACTCATCTAGCACAATGCCTCAAGTAGATTTCTTCAACTTCTCTCTTTTTTCAGATATAATAGAACAGTCATTATTTTGGATCCAACTTAGCTTTGAGGGTCAATTTTTTAAAAAAAATTTTATTTATTCTTGAGAAGAGAGAGACAGAGCATGAGCTGGGGAGGGTCAGAGAGAGGGAGACACAGAATCTGAAGCAGTCTCCAGGCTCTGAGCTGTCAGCACAGAGCCCAACATTGGGCTTGAACTCAACTGTGAGATCATGACCTGAGCTGAAGTTGGACGCTTAACTGACTCAGCCACCCAGGTGCCTCTGAGGGTCGATTCTTTAACTGATGCACAAGCTCTTGGCCAGACCATATAATATTTTTATTTCTATTTTTATTTTCATTTTTATTTTTATTGTGATGGCTTAAACAGTAAGCATTTATTATCTTACAATTCTGTAGCTCAGAAATATGACATGGAGGCTCAATGAAAGTATTGACAGGGCTGCATTCCTTTCTGTAAGTTCTAGAGGAGAATTCATTTTCCTGGCCTTTTCCAGCATTGGAGGCCACCTACATTTTTGGCTTATGGCCCCCTTTTTTCCATCCCTAAAGCCAACAGTGACTGACTGAATTTTTTTTTTTCATACTATTATCTCTTTTGATCTCTGTAGCTTGGGAAGGTTCTACACTTTTAAAGATTCTGTAATGCGATTGGTCCTACCTGGATGATCAGGAGGATTTCCTTACCTCAAAGTTATTGACCTTAATCACCTCCACAAAATTCTTCTTGTCATATAAGGTAATTCGCAGGTTCTGGGGATTTAGAATGTGGACGTTTTTTGGGGGGGGGGCATTTCTTCTATTTCTTCTTCTTGACATCTTAATGGGAGGATATTAGTCTTCTGTATCTCTCTCTCTTTTTTTTTTTAATGCTTTATTTATTTCCAGGAGAGAGAGGGAGACAGCGTGAGCAGGGGAGGGTCAGAGAGAGAGGGAGTCACAGACTGAAACAGGCTCCAGGCTCCGAGCTGGCAGTCAGCACAGAGCCCGACGCGGGGCCCGAACCCACGAACCGCGAGATCATGACCTAAGCGAAAGTCGGACGCCTAACCGACTAAGCCACCCAGGTGCCCCATAGTCTTCTGTATCTCTTGACTGTTCTGTCATGTTTTCATTGTCTTTGATCTTTTGATTGTTTTATGCCTTGTCTGTTTTTTTAAATTAAATTTTGGAATAATTTTAGATTTATACCAGAATTGTGAAGATAGTATAGGAGTTCCTTATACCTTGCAACCTATTATTAATGTTTTACTTTAATATGGTACATTAGGTAACATTAATGAACCAATACTGGTACATTATCATTAACAAAAGTCCATACTTTATTTGGATTTCCTTGATTTTTCTGATTTTTTTCCCTAATGTTCTTTTTGTTGTTTTTCCTGAGTTCTGTCCAGAATAACTGAATTATATTGAGTCATCATGCCTTCTTAAGCTCTTCTTGACTATGACAGTTTTTCACACTTTCCTATTTTTGATGACCGTGAAAATTTCAAAGAGTATTAGATAGATATTTTGTAGAATACACTTCATTTAGGATAGGATTTACCACATACTTTTCTGAGATTAGACTGGGGTTGTAGACTTTCGGGAAGAAGGCCACAGAGATGAGTGCCATTCTCATCACATCGTGTCATGAGTACATACTGTCAACATGACTTATCGCTGTTGAATTGAACCTTGCTCACCTGGCTGACATGGTTTGTGTCAGGTTTTTTCCCTGTAAGTTTCCTCTTTTCCCCTCTTTCCATACTGCCCACTTATGTGCAGTCCATACTTAAGGAGGAAGGAGTTCTGCTTCACTTCCCTGAGGGTGAAGTATCAGCCTAAGTTACTTGGAATTTTTCTGCAAGGGAGTTTCTTTCCCCATATTTACTTATTTACTTAATCAATTATTTACATCTGTGTGGAGTCATGGATATTTATCTTATATTCTGTGTTATAGTTCAATATTACTTTATTTGGTTGTAACACATTTCCCAACGTTGGCCATTTGGAGTCTTGTCAGTCAGCTCCATGTCCCTATACCATACTCCCATCATTGTGGGAATTTGTTTATTTGTTTGCTTGCTTTTTTTTTCTGAGCAGCTCCTTCCTTTATTGTACTACATGAGGCTACAAGCTTATCTTGTATACTTCTTGCTCTAGTCCTAGAATCAACCACTTATCCAGGAAGCCTTGGTTCCTTTTATTGGAGAATGACATGAGAAACTAAGACCTTTGCACTAAGTGTGCTTGTTGCTACTGATGTACTGTTGTTCTAGGCCCTTTCGACTGACAGAACAGGGAAATATATGGTATATACAGGTGACTGTATGTGCATGTCTCTACATATTTTTTTTTAAAAAAATTAATGTTTATTTTTGAGAGAGATAGAGTGCGAGCGGGCAGGGGCAGAGAGAGAGGGAGACACAGAATCCGAAGCAGACTCCAGGCTCTGAGCTGTCAGCACAGAGCCCAACGCGGGGCTCGAACTCACAAACTGTGAGATCATGACCTGAGCTGAAGTCGGATACTTAATCGACTGAGCCACCCAGGTGCCCCTGTCTATACATATTTTTATAGGTAATCATCTATATTTACATTAACCAAAGATGTGTTTATACTCTACTCCATCACTACATGCATCACTCTAAACTCCTCCCCTTTCTTATCTGCAGTCTTACACTCCACCAGTGAGAGGCCTAGCTCCCACCAGTACTGCTTCTTTGAACTACTCCACATCTATACTTCCTGTATTTTCTTCTGTGAGTTGCCCTTCTTGCACTCCCTGTCCATGTAGTTTAGTAGAGTTGATCCTGCTCACTGGAAGAATGGTTGCATTCATTTCCCTGGCCCTGGTTAAATAACACAACCATTCTCCTCGGCACTTGGGCGCTAGTTCTGTGAGAAACAGATGGCCCAGATAAGTCAAAATTTTAGGACTTCTGCTAAAGTAATTAGAAAGGAGAAATTTTCTTTT